AAGAGCGTCTGAAAATTTTAGACATCATTCTGTCTGAAAATTCGGACAATGTGTCTGCAAAAAAGCTGCGGACACTTTGTCTAAAGTTTTAGTCAGTTTTGTTTACAATGCAATCATCGGAAAGATTATCATCTCGAGTCTGTAATAATTCAACCGACTACTCTCTGACGATCCGCGCGAGATACATGTAACATTAAGTGTGTACGATGACTCACTACGATGTTCACCGGACGGGGTGTTCACGAGGAGAAATGGTTACTTACGAAAGACACGACCGTGTTAAGCTCTTATAACGTAGTCGAAAGTACAAATCGAAGCGAAGTGCCGCGAAACGGTCTTGAGAAAAAGTGCGCGCGACGACGCCCGCGACGGATTATCTTTTTTCTCTACTCTTTGCACAGATGAAGCACCGCGTTCCAAGCCTGGTGTGGTAAAATCCAGTTTCAATTGGACGCGCGTTGCACGAAGCTCTCTCTGGCATTCTGTTTCCATCGACCAATTACAGTGTAAAAGCAAATCGAATGGCGAGTTACTTGCTTATGTTTCTTTCAGAGATAGATGGCAGAGAAACGAGAAGAGTAATTTGTCACTTGACTTACCTCTTTGCTGGCTTCGTTATAAACTCGTTGCAGCGAGATTACGCGATTTACGAGAATCAAGTCGAAAGAGTAACAAATTATTTGCCTATCTCGCCTAGTAAACCATTTGGCTTTTCCTTTCTTATTCATCTCAGTCATTGTAGTGAGATTATATGATGCCGATAGACAGATAAATCAATAGTGATATTCGTTTTTCAACAACAAAAGGCAACAAAAAAATTAAACAAAACGCTTGTTACTCCTTTCTTAATTGCTCGCTTAACGATTTCGTATAATCGCGTCTCGTATTAGACAGACAGAGCATGCACGCGTTTCTAGCTTCATCGACAGTCAAATTCGCGTCAGTCTGGCGAAAAGGCGAAACGTATGTTACGTTGACATGTCTGAGAGTCGCCGATCATAAGAATATCTTCGCTCTAGAAGATCGGGAGTTAAAGGTGACGCGCTGCCTGCCAGCTCGGACGTGCCGCTACGATCATCTGGACTCGCTCTGCGAGTGCGTTGGTTCCGATGCCGGATCTGGATCCGAGTCGTCGATGGAGATCCCGTGTTGAGCACCGCGGATCGAGTAACTCGGACTTCGTTCGTTTCTATGAAACACACACGGAATCGTTCCCGTGAGACATCAAAGGCACGAATCTTCTGTGAATTGCTTTTGAGAATGGCAACATTCTCTCGCGAGCTAATTGGATTATAGTTTAGGGATATATAAAGTTTATGGGATGTGTATTTTGAATACACAACTCGGGTTCAAGACCAAAATTGGATATTCTAAATCCAAGCCACAGAATCGATCGCGCATTTTATGCGCAATCAAGAGAACATATTGTCCGCGAATGTATGTTTATATAATCGAGTGAAAAGATGGACTCTTTAAAATTTGATGACGTTTTATCCATCAAACATTTATGGTGCGTAAAATATGATAAAATTTGAAAATTTTCTTTTATGCGGTTATATAAAACAGATTTTTCACATATAGAAGTCCAATGAATCCGAACGATAATTGTAGATGATACACCAAGATGAATAAATGATAAACTGTATGACAAGATTTCTTAAATTTAAATATAAAATTTGGAATATATAAACGATAAGAGATCGTTTCTCTTGTGCAAAAATAAATCGCGAAATTATATTGCGATATCTTTTGTAATATTGTAAATTGTAACACTGACCTCATCGCCAACTGACTGCCGTCACTGCCACGACGCAAGGTGTTGACGCGTTGTATGCAGGAGCACTTGCAACAGATGATTCTTTTGAAAGCGAAACGAAAGTCCTTGCTGAAGAGAGCATAGATGCAGGGGTTTATCGCGGAATTACAATAGCCTAGCCAAAATAATACGCTGAAGACGGTCGGATGGATGTGATTCGGACAGAATGCGCGCACCAGATACATGGTGAAGAACGGCAGCCAGCACATGATGAAACCGCCGACGATGATGCCCAGGGTCTTCGCCGCCTTAGTCTCCATGCGGAATCTCTTCACCTGCATACAACTTTTTCTCACGCATCGTCCGCGACATAGTAATATTTCATAAAAATATTCCTTTTAACTAGTTTATCAAAACTATTTTTCAATCCCTGTTGAGATCCAAATTAATCCCGATCGAAATCAATATTATCATTGCCGCGTTGGCTTTGAAAAAACAAAAATCAATTTTCGGTCGTTTTTCGAGTATTCTTGTTAAAATTTATTTTTGTAAAAATCGTAACTATCACTCGAATGATGCTCGTTTATTTTTACAATAGTTGAAAAATAGACTCGATGATCAAAGTGTTAAAAGGTACGAACGAGTGTTATACACAGGACGCACTTGTGCTTTTATGTTCCTCTTGCCCAGCTTCATCACCCGCGGTTTCTCCTCGCTGCTCGGCGTCATCTCGCGCAATGACAGCTCGTCGCTGGTTACCTGACTCTCGCAGCTGCTCCGTCTGCTCGGCTTTTTGTTACTGCCGATTCTATTAACACCACCGACCTAAAAGGGAATTTAACAAGTCGGTCTTTACGACTTTGGCAACACACATACGCGCGCGCGCACACACATCGCGTGCGCGTCTATAAAATACAAATTCACTTTCACGCGAAATTTACGGACGCCGTAAAACCGTCGTTTTTCTATGACGACCGCGAGTAATGGCAGTTACTGTCGTCAAAGGACGCGGACTTGGATTAGTATCGTCCTTAGTTAGAAATCTGTTATTGGATATCTCGCATCTTCTTCTTATGAACAAAAAAGATAGTGAATATCTATCAAAAATTATACAATTTTTATAGATTTTTATCAAAATTAAAATGTGGTTATTAGTATTTAGATGTAAATACATTTTTTCTACTGTTTTATCTCGATTGCTTGTAAACATTTATTTTAAAAATGTATGCGATTTCAAAAATATGTTTGTAAATAGAAATTTGCGTTATTACTCTGCCAAGATAGAAAAAAATAAAAGAGGCGCCTTTCCTTCCTTTGTTTATTGATGTCAGCGATTAAAAAATAGTGGATGAAACAATCATGGTACGAGCGATAAAAAAACCCTCAACGAAACAAACACGTGTTTGTAATCTGCTTTGTTTCGTCCGTCTGTAAAATCACCCGTACCAACTCATCTACAGAAGAATAATCACGAACGATAATTTAAACGACAAATAAAAGTTCGGAAAATCTTGCAAAACAAAACAGTAAAAAAAAAAAGTGAAAAAATAGTACGACCCAATAGCCCCATCCAATCGGAACGAATGAGTGCCCTAGTTTTATTGAACAAAAAGCTGACTCTTGATCTGTTCCGTTTTGCAAATGATTAATCGGCAATAAACAGTGTGTGCGTAAGCACTCGAAATTGCGATGACAAAATGTCATTAGTCTAAAATATGAAACTTGCGCAAAGTTTAACATCGCCCTCATTTCTCAAACGATGAGAGAGCTAGAAACTCATTCTCCCAATCGGAGTGGATTACATCGATTTTGTATACATATTGTTACATAGTGACAAAAAATATAAATTTTTATTATTTTTGAAAAAATATATATTTTCTACGTTATAAAAATAAAATTATGCGTTGTGTGAAACACTTTTTGTAATTTTACGATAAAACAAATTTCGACTATATATTTTTAAATGATTACAAGGATAAGAAAATATAAAAGAAAATGCGCGTCCATCTTTTGAGCATAATTAATCAGAATGTTTCGGAGGTCTGCAAATGCAACTTATATAAGATCTAATTTACCTTAAGGTGTGTATTTCGTGAACAAAGCTGCGTCTGCGTTTGTCCATTACTATAATGAACCGAGATTTGCGAGCACCTCGATGGCGTTCTCTCGAGAGTGTTGCATTTTGTGTTAAGAGTTTCGGTACTGGGGTAGGAGACCGAAATTTTGATTTTTTCCCGCTTGACAGAGCTACGGCTGCTCGAGTCCGGGCTTCTCGAGTTGCCGTTGTTGCTGCCGTTGTGGACGCTACTGCGGCCACGATGTATTCGTAAGGTCAGTCTTTGTTCGTCGAACCTGCATAAGAATAAAATTGCGTCGAGCTCCAACGTTGACGTTCTATTATATCTGCCAGCGGCATAATAAAGCTTTCACGTAAAGAGACTTCTCTTCTTGGAGAAGAAGAAATTTAATGACGAAAGCTAAGTGAAATGACTGAAAAGAGAGAAAAGTGCGGAAAAATATAATTAATTGCAGAAAAATTTATTTGCTACGTTATTTCATTAAGGCAAAAATCATGGGTGAACAACTCTTTTTATCTTATATACGACACTAAAAGAAAACATTATATTGTTAACAACTGACATGCGCAATTAAATAGGAAAAAATCATTAATGATGAAATAATCGATATATTCTGGAGAAGCGTAAGATACACAAATAAATGTGATAGAAATCAATTACAAAATTATAAGAAATATTTTTTACACGGTTGCGAGCTTTGAAAAAATTGCGATCCTGTTGGGTGAGTTTACCTGCTGCCGAGCATTTTCGAGGCCTTCGTTGTCCGAAAACCTTGATTAATGGCTCTCGTCGTGGAAACGGCGGCATTGTAGATCCGCCAATAAAAAAACAGCATCACTAGCATCGGTATATAGAAGGAGCCTAGGGCGCTGCAACATAGTGCGATCGCGATTTTCCGGTAATCATGTTTTTCGGAATAATCGAGCACCTTTGCACATGACAGTTTGACTACCGTGACTATTAATTGACAACCACCGCCTCTAATAATTGGTGAGATGATCTGATCGAGAGATACGAACCGGTGATGGCTACTCAAAATCGGCGGCATCTGAGTGATTTATTGATTTATTGAACGGCAACGAACGCGGTGTATATGTCACCGTTTTGATTCATGTATGTGTAATACATGATAACAATGATATGATAACAATGTGGAATATGTAGAAGTAGAAACAATTATTTATTACCCACTTTGCATTTGTATTGTAAATTTATAAATTTATAAATTTTATATATGATATTAATTTATTAAAATAATTCGATTATATATATATATATATATAGTC